GGCTCCTGGCTTTGGATGGGCTCAGCTCTGGCCATTGCAGCCATTTGGGGAGTGAATCAACAGATGGAAGATCTTCTTCTTTGTCTCTCCTCCTCTCTGAATATCTGACTTTCTAATAAAAATAAATCTTTTTAAAAAGATGATTTGCCCCTAGCATACAGAAATGCACATTTCTTTGTGTTGCTTTTATGGTTTTGTTCACTAGTACTAACAAGTTATTTGCTGATAGAATCCACAGGATTTTCATGTGAACTGCTTCCTTTTGCTTTATTTTTATTATTTTGAAATCAACATACTAAAACAAAAATTTGTCTAATATACTGTCATAACTATGTTAAGAGAAATAAATATGAATGGTTGCATATATATATATATGTATATATATAAAGATCCTATCTAGAAAGATTTTCCGCATCAGGTTTTATGATACCTAGAAGGAATTCAGGATTACATTTAAAATTTATTAGGTTTAGACATCTTTAACTGGAAGGAAAAACACCCGGGAGCTGTAACAAAGTGAAATAAAGAGATTTTCTTAGGGGGAGAAAAAAAAAAAGAAACAAAACATATCTGTTGGGTAAGGGCTCAAGGGGCTCAAGGGGAAGGAACACCAGTGTATCCTACATGAAGCTTTCATTTCCTTCTCCTTTGAACAGAGCTGTCATGGTCGTTGTCATTGTGGTGGTCTTTTGACACTTAACACCAGTACGGCAGCAGACTGCATCCGGATGTAGCCACATGAAAAAAGGACAACTCCAGAAATGACGGTCACCTCTCACAGACACATGTGTGTGAATTCTCCTCCCGTGGGGAACGCCCATATGTTCAGCCCTTAGAGCCCAAGAAGGCTACCAGGTCCCAACTGCAGAATGATTTCCTGCTGTGCTCTACCTGCTGGACAGAATAAGGATTGGGCAGCAGGCAGGAGACTCAGGACACACAGGAGGGAGCAGGGCTCAGCTCCAAGTGTTGGGGACACTCACGTGTGTGGGGGCCCTGGCAGGATCAGCTGCAAAAAGCAATATCTGTCACCACCTGATGAGAACCCTATGTTAGGGAAACCATCACTCTCTTTCTGGCTGTGCAATGGCATTTGGAGAGCCAGCCTGGAAGCCAGCTCCTCCCTGCAGGGTCCCCTCCTGGGGGAGAGGAGGGTGAGGGAGAACAAAGCATGGTTTAAAGATGTGTTTATGACTGAGAGAATTCTCAGTCTATGAATTCTCAGTCTCATAGAATTTTGTCTATGCAGAATGACTGAGAGAATGAGAAATATACAGTGATTTTCCATCTGCTGGCTCATTCCCCAAATGGCTAAAATGGCCAAGGGGTGGTCCAGGCCAAAGACAGGAGCCCAGAACTCCAGCCAGGTCTCCCGTGTGATCGGCAGGGATCTAAGCTCTTGGGCCATCCTCCACCGTACTCCATCGGCTGGGAGCTGGATCAGAATGGGAGCAGCTGAGGCGCTCTGATAGGAGAAGCCTGACACAAGCAGCTTAGCTTGCTATGCCACAACACTGGCCCCTACTGCCATTTCTGGGCACCTTATGATGTCCATCAGGGACACTGCACAGAGCAGGCATTCAGCCCCTTCTTTACTTTCCTATGCTCCATGGAGGGAGACCATGATAACAGAACTGGATTCCTTTTTGCGTCCGGTCCCTCCCCTGCCCTTTCTCCTTTCTTCCTGAGATTTTACTACCTACACTTTGCTGTAAAGCTCTTAGCTTTTGGCTTGTGTATCTAGAACCCAGCTATCTCCTTCTGCCTCCTCCTCTTCCTCTCATCAATCATCTTCCTTGGGTTTTGGGCTGGTGGGCAGGGGAGAGACTCAGTCCTTTTTCATTCACCTAGATAGTCCCTGGGCCTGACCACACTGATCAGCTGTCTTAACTCACTCTCCCCAAACACACAACTGAATGATTTGCCTGAAAACTGTTGTGCTAAGTTCAAGTGGTCAGACAGCCATTAAAGATGCTTGGTCCTGGGAGCTGCTGCAGGAGTGACACAAGAGTCTCCAGCAGCTCTGTGAGATAATAAGTTGTGTCCACCTGTGACTTGAGAGTGTAGACGGGGGAAAAAAAATAACTAATCAGATTCCAGGAAATATACAAAGCCTGGCTTTTCTCTCTTCTTCCCCCAGTACCTGCTTAAAAAGTGTCATGGATGAGGCTGGGTGTTTGGCCTGGCAGGTAAGCAGGTAGTTAGGATGCCAGCGGCTCTGGCCCTGGCTCTTGACCTCAGTCCTGCCAGTGACGACCTTGCAGGGCAGTGGTGACAGTTCGAGTGATTGGCTCCGTGCATTCTTGCAAAAGACCTGGAGTGAGTTCCTGTCTGCAGGTTTCATTCCAGCCCCCTTCTTTGTCAGCCACTTGAGGCATTTAGAGGGTGACCTGCGTGTGGGGGCTCTTGCTGTCCCTCTGCGGTGTGTCTCTGCATCTCAAGGCATAAGCAAATATTTCCAAGTTCCTGGGTCCTTGGGCAGGACTCTTTGCAAACAGACTTAAGATCAGAAATAAACAAAAAGAAAAAAAAAACCAGAAAAGGCTGAAATTTGGTTTGCAAATGATATTAATTCTGGGTAAATGCTTACATTTGCTTTTTTTTTTCTCATATTGCATATAATGTGTCATTGAGGCTTGGCTGCCACTTCTGTTGTTATTGTTTGCTTCACAGGGAAGAGCTCAAATGCCAAGTTCTAAGGGAAGTCCTTGTTTTGTTTGTTTTGCTTTTTGTTTTTCCACTCTGCAGCCTGGTTGCCCTGTGCAAGCTTGATTGCAGGCAGGCATGCTGTGTTAAGAGGTGACCCGCCTTGGCGGGCTTGCTCTTGCCCACCACACCGCATAGCAGTTTTGCTGTGGGCTTTTCTCTGAAGCTAGCCTGTGGGCCATCTCCACTCCCAGCACTAACTTCTTCCACGGGCTCCTGTCCAGAAGGCATGCCTTGCGTGTTTCCTGTCACACAACCCCATCTGTTCTGATCCTCCACAGGGTCTAAAGTCCATCTTCCCTTGGCCTTCAGGAGCCACTGTTTTATGCTAATGAGTCATCTCTTCCTTGAGGTCTACTGCAGGCTGAGATGGGGAGAGCCTGCAGAGAGAGCCAGTAGGAGAAATAGGCCAGCGGGGCAGTGACTGGCAAAGCCACGAGAAATGTCTCCATTTTTACCTTCTGGATGGTTGCTATTCATTATACAGGGAGCATTATCTTTTTATCTATAAGATAAACATCTATGCATGTATGTGGCAATAGGTTCATGATGCGTGTGTTGTTGTTGTTGTTGTTGTAGTTTAAATGGACAGCCAAGAATCCAGCATACAGGGACAAGCCTTCGATTTAGTGATTAGGATGCTGTTTGGAACGCCACACCCTGTCACAGTGCTAGGGTCCTTGTTTGGGCTCCTCCACTCCTAATTCTGCTCCCGACTACCGTGCACCCTGCACAGCAGCAGGTGATGGCTCAAATGCTTGGATCCCTGCCACCCAAGCACCCAGGTTCTGGCACCCTGGCTTTGGCTTGACCCAGCCCCAGCTGTTGAAGGAGTGAATCAGCAGATGGGAGATCTCTATTGCTTTCCAATAACACAACAATTTTTCTTTCTTTTTTTTTTTTTCTAAAAGGAGGGTGCATCATGAAAGTCCTTATTCTATAGGCACAATGTGTAGACAGAAGAGCATTATTTTGTTTTGTTTTGAGAGGACTGTTTTGCTTAAAATTTTTGTGTAAATTTTGAGACAAGTGTAGATTCCCAGCAAAGTATAGCAAATCGGTGATGTCCTTGCAAGCACTCCACCCAGTCTTCCCCAGTGGTGACGTTTCGCCTAAGTGTCCTGCAGCGACCTGAACGGAAACTTGACTTTGCTACCTTATAATCCATTGGCCTCATTTAATTCTCCCTGGGCCTTATGTTTCTGTATTTCGGTCTATGCACGTTTGTCACATATGTGATGTGCTTCAGAACTCCAGCTTTGTCACACGAGCCTTTGCTGTGTGACCCAGAGCAAGCTCGTGAACCTGACCTTGGCAAAATGGGTGCAAAGGCTGCCTGCCTCCTAAGGGCGGCAAGAAGATGAGGTCCGGTAGTCGCTTCCAGGGTTCTCCATAAAGCCAAGTTTTCTCGATGCCTGCCCCTTAGCGGGGGGTGGGGGTGGGTTGGGGGCACTTTCTCGAGTTTCCTGCGAAAATCACGGACTCGTGGGTCGTGATGCATCGTGCAAATCGTTCTCCAAGAGCGACGCGGATAAGGCCACAGCTCCCCAAAGGGCGGCCCGAGGGCGTGGTCCTCTGGTTGTAGTTTCTGCGCCGCCTCTAGGCCTGCGCTCCGGGCCCGCTGTCAGGGCGTGGGGGAAAGCCACGGGAAAGGGAAGCGGGAGCGTGTGGAGTGGCGGCTCCTAGCCAGGAGCCCAAGAGGATGCGGCGAGCAGGTGCGCCAGCCGGTCGGGATCCCGGGGCAGCACTCAACTCGACGCCGGGCGCAGGGTCCAGCCTCGAGCCCTTCCGCCTCCGTTCCCCTCTTCCCAGTGGGCAAAGGGCTGGGAAATCCAGGGCCGAACTCCACAGCAGCCCATCTCTAGGTCCCGCTGGCGGCAGGCGGAGGCTGGCGTGGAGACAGGGTCTGCCCGGGAGGTGCGGGGGTTTGTAGGGAATGCAGTTCGCTCGAGGGCGCGTTGGCCAGGAGACCGGGACGCGAGCTCCAAGTCGCAGGCCTCGTGTCGCCGCAACCCGAGTCCCGGGGCGTTTCCAAGTTCAAATGTGGGAGGCGTGGGCTCGGCGGGAGGCGACGAAGCCGCCGTTGGCTCGGGCGGCGCCCTCCAGCTCCTCCCTCGGCCGCCCGGAGCCGCGCGGGCCGTGGAGGAGGAGCCCAGCCGGCACCGGCGTCGCCCTGACTCCTCCTCCTCGTCCTCCCGCTCCTCCTTTCGCCGCGGGCCCGGCTCTTCCTCCCCGGCGTGCAGAGCTCGGGGCGCCCGCGGCCATGGTCCCCGCAGTGGCACCGGGCGCCTGAGCCCCGGGACACGCGCTAAGCTGGGCGCCCGCCTGCCCACCCCGGGGAGCCGAGGCGCGGCCTTGGGGTGCGCGCAGGCCTGGCGCGCCCGGAGGAGGTGGCGGCTGCAGAGACGCCCCGGGGCCGCCGGGGCTGGAGCGGTCCCCGGCGCCGAGCTTTGGCGAGCGCTGCCTCCTTGCAGCTGGAGATGACGCTCGCGCGGGTCCCGGCACCCGGCCTTTAGAGGGACTCGCGCCCCCGAACCGGCTACCAAGTCTCGTCCGGCGTCCCGGGCCCGAACAAAGCGTGTCGCCGCCGGCCGGCTCGGCTCAACGCCGGGCGCCGAGAGAGGCCCTCGGAAGGTAGGCGGCGGGCCCCGGCGCGGCTGGCGGCCCGGGGATGCCGCTGCTGCAGCAGCGCGGGTTGCCAGGAAGGCGGGCTGCCTTGTCGCGCTTCCCTCGCTCACCCCCGGCCGCTTGTCCCGGGCTTCGCGGGCAGCCCCGAGTTAAAGCTGCCGCGGTTTTGAGATGGGCTGGGGGTTGAGGGGAGGAACACAGGGCGGATCTGGGTCCCCTGGAGCTCGCAGGATGGTGGTCACGCCGACGCGTGCTGCAGGGAATCACGGGGTGTCAGCCCGCGCCTTCCGCGGGGATCGCGAGAGTGTCCCGAGCGCGTGGATGCTGTATCCGACTTTGCCCGCGCCGCGCGGTTCCTTGGAAAGCGGAATGACGGGTGGGCGGACACGGAAAGCCCTTGTCGCCTTAGCCGCGGGACGGGAGGGTGCAATGTCTCGGGCGGAAGCCACCGGGGTCCCCGAATAGCCCGTGTTGCCGCTCCACCAGCCGCCTCAAGGGGATGGCTGTGCTGGTCCCATCCTATGCGCACCGCTGTGAAATTGAAAGAGTGAGGTAGGAGGGCAACCCAGGGTCAAGGCGGAACCCGTCCTCGCCGTGGGGCCCGCATCCAGGCAGCTGGCGTAGGATGGGACCCTTTACTCGCTGTTCTTGGCGGAGAAAGAGCCCCCGCCCCTGTGCTGGGGACTCTCCAAGCTGGGCCGTGTCGTACGGCTGCTGGGTGCGTGGGGTCAGGGAAGATTGCACGAGCAATTTGTTTCTAAGATGAGACTTCTGGCTGAGTGGGGGGAGGGGAGGAGGCGCCTGAGCCGAGTTCCTGCGTCCCCAGGACCGGCCAGCTGGGTCCTGCCGACGCTGTAGCATCAGAGAGGCTTGGCCAGCGTCGTGGCGTTGTGCTTTCTTCTGTTTCCTGTTAGCTTAATGGGATCTCCAGCCGGCTCCAATGATGAGCGGATTAGCTCGGTGGGTGACCTGGGTAATGGGTTGATCTCGCTCCGGAGTTGGGAGGGAGCTGGCCAAGTTCCCAGACTGCTGGGGCCGTCAGAGCACCGGCCGGCCGAGGCAGGAGTTGGTAGGGTCCTCTCCGGGAGAGAGGTGCTGGGAATGGTTGGGGAGTTGCTGTCAGGATTGATTTTGACCTGTTCTCTGAGGAGTTTCAGTGGGATGATGTCTGAACTGCAGGGTGGTGAAAGCTAATGGGTCGACACCTGCTAGAGATGCTGCCAACGCAGAGATTGACTTTAGGGGGCGGTAGAGGGGGAGCCTTCACCAGTGTGGTCTTGACATTAAAATATCAAGAATCAGTCATGTCAGTGGCACTTGCTGGGAATGCTGTGTGTTTTGCTTCATTTTAGATATGTAACACCACCCTTAGCATCAAGATGTTAACTATGACACACCCGGAGAGTTCTGAACAGGTGATTCTAATTTAACATCTGCTATGCGTAAAATGTTCAGATGCATTGTTGTAAATGTCAGCTTTCTAAACCAACTTCTCACCAATTTGGTGCCTCCATTTTATGTTGATAATGGAAATCCATGTTATCAGTCTTACATGAGTAAGAGGACTGGCAAGTTTATGCAGAGCGTTTGAGAGAGATGCAACAGCCAAAAGCCTTTTTAGAACGCTTATTTTTTTTCTAGTTGCCAGTTCATCTGTGAGCCAATAAATAATGCAGCTTGAATTCTGCCTATTGAGTCTGCATCTGTTGGACAGGGCCATGTGGGAAGGTTCACTGAAGCTTGCAAAAGTATTTTTATCCTACTAGCAACTAAAATAGAATTTTAAAAAGATTATGGGATTTTGCAAATGAACCACTTTGTAATTAGGATGCTTCTTTGTTGCAGCTTGTATCAACAATTAGCCATTTATTCAGGCTTTGGGGTGGATAGCATTACAGACCATCTACAGGGTACTGTTTGCTTTAAAAACAAAGTTGGGGAAACACTGTTAACCCTTGTGAAAGAGCGAGCACTTAAGCTCACAGCTTCAAGCATCTCCAGTGAATTTGAGTAAATATGGCTTAGGAAGTGAAAGTTGTTAAAAGCTGTGTTTTAGAAAACAGTAACCTAGAGCTCTGTTTTCTGCTTTTGTAATTTCACTTAGTTGATTACAGGTTATCGGGGCTGTATTATGCTAGGCTAATGGTTTTTCTTCCAGCTACCCTGAGTTAACTACTTGATTGGGTAATCCACCTGCTGTTAGATTTAACAAGAGCACAGGGTGGTTGCATCCTTCAGGATAGTGAATACTAAAGCTGGTTTACGTTTTAGAATGAATGCTAGAAGGGTGCCCTTAGTTAACTTAAATTTTAGAGTTGGCTAAGCGAAGGCTGATATTTTCTTTTAAACTGATTGAATGTGATATTTTCCCCTTTACAATAATGCTGAAGCTCTTGTGTTGTATTTTTACACTGTGGTTCCTGCCTGGGTAAACCCTGTTAGGAGTGCAGGTTGTCTCAGCAGAGAGCCAGTACGGACAGCATCTGTATGCTGCCAAGGATGGGCAGTCATTTGGGGCATAAGTTGTCTCCTGTATAAATACCCACATGGCGGCAAACACTTGTCCTGTTGAACTTTGCTGAAACCTGAGTTTCTGCTGGACCCTGTTTCCTGTTATATGGAAATTGGTCCAAAAATGGTAAGCCTGGAAACCTTTGCAGCTTTTCAAGTGTTTGCAGAAAAGACAGAAGAGAAGCGGTGAAATTGGATCGTTGGCATTGTTAGGCTCTGACTTGGCAAATGACGGGAGCTGCAGACCTGAAAGGAAAGCTTGCCAAGGCAGGGTATGTAGGTCTGTGTTCATCCCTCCAGCTCTAAAGTAACTGAATTAGTTACTTGGAGGTCTCTGCATGAGCCGTGAGCCTCTGACAGCTCTGACTGCACACATGTCTTAGCACATTTATTATGATGCCTAGCAAGGACGGTGGCCGAGCGAGAGGGGCTTCCAGAAATTCCACCAAGCTGTTCAGCTGCTGGGCCATCTGGAGGGGAAATAAAAGGCCTAGGCCAGGGGATCAGGCCTGGTGCTTAGCATTTGATGTTCCCTTGCCAGACTTGGTCCCCTTTTACTTTCTCTATCCCACTGCAGACATCCCCTTTGGCCAGGGAGCCATTCTGCCAAATTCCTTTCTGGTGTCTTGGATGCTGGAATGTGCACGAGTTCCTGGGTCTGCTTTATACTGGCCTTAGGTTGAAGCCTTTGTGGCCCCGCAACACCTCTGCGTGTTTCGCCTGCAGTCCCAGCTGGTGCAGTGAGGTTGTTATCAGCTCGGGTGGCCAAGCTGGGGAAGGGGAGGGTTGTGCAGATCTGCGGGACTGCCTGTCAGGGTGGGCTGCGTTCTGGCAGCCTTGCTTGGAGTCATTTGGAAGGAAACTGCTTGAAATCACAGGCGTTCTGGGTGGTGATTGGGGATAAGTGTTTTGATTAATGGCCACGTGCATCTGTCTCTTTTGAACCAGCCCCAGTTGGAATTCCAAACCATGGCCCACACTGCTTTTTACAACAACAACAATAATAATAATAATATTCCAGATGAGTCAGAAGGCTTCAAGCAATGGAATGGGAAAGGGAAACAATGAGAAGAAGCCCCGGGTTATGGCAGGCTTCATAAAACTGGAATTGTTCTTTGCAATCCAAAGGAGGTTTTGTCACTCAAAACCCAACTTTTTGTCAGTGAGATTGCTGTGAATGGGGTCTGGTTAGGCTTTGTGGAAAGCCCTGGATCCCATAGATGAGACTGATTGCAGTGTCTGTCCATTCCTGGGCTGTGTTCATGATGGAGGATGTGGAGTGCTGCGTGACCACCTTTGTATAAAAACTCACTGCTTCAGAGAATTCTTGTTCTGTCTGTGTATCCTGTAGGCCGGAACCTCACTCGACAGATCCGGGGAGGCATGAAGGAGGGAATCCAAGTCCCCTTTCTAATATAAACAGTTGATTGTCATGGTATTCTTTGCTGGTTGTTGGTGTGCTAACATATAAAGGTGGTTATAAGCTTCCCAATGGAGTCTTTTCCGAGGTTCCACTCATGTGTTCTGTGCCACATGAAGGATGGAGGTAGAGTGGAGCAGAGTTCAAACCCCACCTGCACTCTCATTTTAGTGTTGTGTCTTTGGACACATTGTCTGATGCCTTGAAGCCTCAGTTACAGCATCTTAAATGGGAATATGATAATATCTGTCCACCAAATTGGGAGGATGACATGAGAAGTACATAAAGTACTTAGCGCAGACTCATTAACCGCTCAGAAGTTTAAAGTAATGGTAACACTTAGAAATTCCTTCTAACTTCCTAACTGCATTTGAACCTTTCTACTTTATTTGACATAAACCCTTTTAGAAGAGAAAATCACTGATAAAGTTAGTTTATGTGAAAGACAGAGTTATAGAGAAGAGGTTGAGAGAAAGAGCCAAAGGGAGGTCTTCTTTGGCTACGCACTGGTTCCCTGTTGATGAACTGCGGTGACTGGAGTTGAACCAGGATGAAGCCAGGGAGATTAGGACTCCAGCTGGGTTTATTTATTTTTATCACAAAGTCAGATATACAGAGAGGAGGAGAGACAGAAAGGAAGATTTTCTGTCCGATGATTCACTCCCCAAGTGAGTGCAACAGCTGGTGCTGTGCCAATCTGAAGCCGGGAACCAGGAACCTCTTCCAGGTCTCCCACATGGGTGGAGGGTCCCAAGGCTTTGGGTCATCCTCGACTGCCTTCCCAGGCCACAAGCAAGGAGCTGGATGGGAAATGGAGCTGCCGGGATTAGAACCGGCTTCCATGTGGGATCCTGGGCGCATTCAAGGCGAGGACTTTAGCCGCTAGGCCATGCCCCCGGGCCCTCCAGCTGGGTTTTCTGCATGGGTAGCAGGGACCCAATCACCTGGGCTATCTGCTGCTGCTTTCCCAAGCACAGTTTAGCCGGGAGCTGAGTCAAAAGAGGAGCAGCTGGGATTCAAAGTGGTACTCACATGGCACACTGGTGGCACAGGTGGTAGCTTAATCCACTGCACCACAGTGCTGCCCCCAGGTGATTGTCTTTTAGAAGCAAGGAAGCCCTGAGCATTGCCTGCTGCTGTTGCTGTTTGCTATTGCAGTGCTCTGCCTCTTTCAAGGTGAGTCTGACTGACTTAAGCTACCTTAAGGAATCCACCATGGGGGGAGGGGTATGGGAGGGGTGGAGGGGATCCCCAGCGCCTATAAAACTGTACTACATAATATAATGTAAGCAACAATAAAAAAAAAAAAAAGATTATGCTTTCTTTGCAAGTCAGGATTTTATGAGTTTTCTCAGGTCCTCTCCTGTATCAGCTTTCTCTGGGATTAGCCACTTTCCGCTCCCTGCCACCTTAAACCCTCAGTGCAGCCCTTCCAGACAGGTGTTCTTGTCCTCCGAGTACAAATGCAGACACTCAAGGAAGCGTGTCAGTGCAGATTCTCTTTGTGAATCCATTGGCTCAATTGCCAACGCATTTAATTAAACTTCAGATGGCTCCACATAGTACACTTTGGCAGTTGCTGTTAGCTCTGATTTTTGCTTCACTATGTCTGCATCTGAAAACACTTTTGAATGAGGGCAGGCTGCAGGGAGTGGAGGGGTGTGCGGAGAAGAAACAGGTGTTTGGCAAGTTTTGTGTGCTTGTTTGCCTAGTTTACCTTCAGGATGAATTTGTGCTCAAGGAATGTGCATGCAGTCAGGCAAGGATGCTAACTGTGTTCCTGGCAAGAAGAATAAGTCGAATTGTGCAAATAAAGGAGAGGCTAGAGAAGACACAGGAGGTCCGTACCTCATCCTGAAGGTCAGGGACACACACACAAAAAAATTCCAAGTGGGGAGGAAAAACATTCTTGCACATGAAATTACTGATGAACATTTGGCAGCTAATACCAACCAGCAAAATGTGTCTGAACCAGATGAGTCTTGACAACTTGTCACCATGTATAACGTGTTCTGGATGTTTCCAGAGAGAGCTTATGTTCCACAGGGGTGGGGCTTCTCCCCACCCACCTCTGTCACAAGTAGGGAGGAGGAACAAGGAACAAAGAAATGTTTAGAAAGGAAAGCTGCTGGAAAATGAAAGAGCTTGAATTTCATGGAAATCCAGAGGCTCCTGAAGAGCCTGGGGTGATAACTGTTGGCAACCCAAGAGACATGACCTCAGGACTTGGTGTGTTTTGTTGCTCCTTTCACAGGGGGCTGAGGCACGAATCCCTGGCCCTGAACACTAGTTTGAGAAAGGGGAGGTGTTAAAAGTTGTTCCTCTTTTCAGGGAGCTTCATAAAGTTTGTGGAAAATTACATGTTAAGGAAAAAACATGGATTTCAAACTTTTGACAGCACAATCTGTCTCTTCATTCTGTTTGTCTAAGAGCTTTCTGATGCACCTTTGTGTGTGCAAAATTGAGCAAAAGCAGAACAGTGTGGGTTGAATGGAGTTAGTTGGTTGGACGATGTCCCACGGGACTCTAACACTCACAGTGAGTCTAACAGCCATGGCAACCCGGGAAATCACAGAGCACCCTGGGGACTCCAGCAGGTATTGATTGACCATGGGCAGACCCCAAGTGGATCTCATTCACCAACCCTTGGCCTTGTCTAAAGTTCTAAACCTCAGGCTTTGCTTAGCACCTTGTTGCCTCTTTTCTGATGTTGCATTGGTATGGATCTAGCAGCCTCAACTTATTTTGAAAATATTTACATAGCGATTATTTAACCCCAAGGGCCAACCTTGGGAAGGCGGCCAGAGCCAGGAGCACCTTAGCAACGGAAATACTGATCATGAACAGAGAGGGATAGCTGTCCCAGGCTAGAGGCTGGACCACAGCTGTGCCTCATCGCTTTAATGAATGGCTCCAATAAACAGGAGGCTGCCTAGCAGAGCTCTTCCTGCTCATCAACAAGTTCCCTTGCACTGCTGCAGCCCTTGGGAAGGTTGTGGTTCTGCTTGGTGTGTTGGGTCTGGGAAGACAGCAGATGGGCTGCTGAGCAACCCTGACCAGTGATAAGGAGCCCAGCTGTTCCCAGTCTGGTGGTAATCAACATCCCAGAAAACACCAGGGCCGGTGCTGTAGCCACATGCTCTGTGCAGCGCCCCCTCTAGGTGAGAGAGTTGGCTGACTGAGGTTCAGTTCAAAATGTTCTTTCTGTCATCCTGGACCCAGTTCTGAGAGCTTTGCTGCGGGTGGCTGAAGTCAGTATCTCCAGGGCATTTCTAGATGGTGTTTGGCAGCTTGCATCATGATGGGGGTACTGTTGCATGTGCAGGTTTCAGACTTGCCTCGGGATAACCTAGCCAACACATTAAACATTGACTATCCTGCAAGGAATACAACAGATCACAGGGACCAGATATCTGGAATTTAGTGATGCATATTGGTAGCAAAATAACAGAGTTCTTGATGCCTTCAGTCTTTTCCTACAATGGGTGGGAAGGACAGAACAGGGTGGAGGAGGGTCGGAGAGCTGAGACACTACAGGATGGAGCTTCCTTGTGGTGCTGTTTGGTCTGTAGCTTCTTCAAACCTCACCTCCTGAGAGCTTGGGGCTGTGTATGCCCCATTCTCTAGGCAACGGAGCATTATCTCATGCTCCCCAGGGCCGATGCGTGCACAAAGGAATACTTGTCACACCTCATGTACATCTCACCCACCAAGTTAATTGACTTGCTTTGTGGGGAACTCAGCCATGTTGTAAACAAGGAGCTTGTACAATGCCTCTGGCTGAGCCTTGAGTCTCACTTTGAGCGGGGCATCTGCTAGACTGAGCCAAGCGGAGCCCAGCAGCATGGCTACGGCACAGCCTGCAACCTGGTACAGGCAGTCCAGAGGCTGCTGACTTCTGGTGATCCACACTGGCATTTCTCTTCAACCTTCTGGCTGGCCCCGAGGGCATCTTTTTGAACTTCAAGTTCTGGGTCAGAGGATCCCTTAGAGAGAACACCATTGTCAGCCTGGAGTCTGCCTGATGACTGAGCAGAAGAGGAGGGTGACTTTCTGTCTGCGTGACCCCCTGAGTCTGGTAACCTTAACCTTGGGAGTCTTCCTTTTTACCCGTAGGCGCCCCGTGGGAGCTGTGGTCCTACAGGGTGTGTCCCAGGCAATGAGTTACCTGCAGAACTGCACCCAAGGACTGGCAGCATGGCGAGTGTGCCCAAGGAGGGAGTGACTCACCCTGTCCCTGTCTTGTTCCTGCACAGGTGAGCGCTGTGGGCTATGGGATGGATGAGGCGGAGCAGGATCAGCATGAGGCCCGACTCAAGGAGCTGTTTGACAGTTTTGACACCACGGGCACCGGGTCACTGGGACAGGAGGAGCTTACCGACCTGTGCCACGTGTTGAGCTTGGAGGAGGTGGCCCCAGCACTTCAGGAGACGCTGCTGCAGGACAGCCTCCTAGACAGGGTAAGGTGTGGGGCGAGCGGGGCACAGGCTGGAGGAAACGGGGTGTGTTTTCTGCTATGGGGGTGCAAGCCACGTGTTGGCTTGTTGCAAGCATCCTGGTTATGAACCTGCCAAAAGAGGCATGTGATGGGCATGAATGATGGGTCAAGGGGCCCCGTTTTTATTTGTGCTCTGAAACCGGGGTGTCCTCTGTGCATCTGAAAGAGAGAAAAAGAGGTAATAAGAGGAGGTATTCTCACTTTGCCCATGTTCTTTGTGCCCTGTTTTGTGTACTCGTTGTTGGAACAGAAAGGAGGCAAGTGAGACTTTTATTGAAGAGTAGGAAAATGGAAGCCTGAACGTTGGGTTCCCAAGGAGAGTGGGTTTCTCATGTGGATTGGTTCTGGGTAAAGCATTAATTAAGCCTCTCGCCCAGGAAATGAGACAGGCGAGGAGGCAGATGCAATGCAGGTTCATTTAAAACTCAGCAGGCCTTGCTTCCCGCAGGGACGTGTGTGTCTGTGTGTGTGTGCCTGCGTGTGCCAGCCTGAGTGTTCCACAGAAATAAAGCATGTCCTGCCTCGGATCAAGTCACAGATACAAGAGATGTTTTTCTCTTGTCTTTGGTGGAAGGATATTTGCTCCGTCATTACTTGCAGTTTCCTTTAGTTCTCCTAATTAATAGCAGCGTGTGTGGCGTGGTTGGGTCTCTCACTGTTGGCTTCTAGGATGGACAGGAAGGAAAGCAGGCAGTAGTTCTTGAGTTCTGTGGCTCTCACAGCTAGCCCTTTGTCGACGGCGGATTTTATCACGTGTTGTAACTTGAGGAAGCAGCTGTGAAGCCTCATTTCTCATGGTGGCTGAACTTCCTCTTCTCCATTTCATAGTCACTGTTCCCCCAGCTGACAAGATGTGGTAGCAGATAGGGTATGATGTGTTGTCTCCCTGTAACTCGAGACAGAAGTCAGTCACAGTCATCCCAAGGTGGTGCTCTCAGGGGCTTGGTACCAGAAATGTAGTGATAGGCAGCGCTCACACTTAGAAAAGTGAGTTCTTTGCAAAAAGGGGGTGTGTTTCTTGGACACTCCAAGGAGTATGAACTGCCTGTGAACATAGGTGTTGCCTACAATGTGCTGTAAACCTTGTTTCAAAGGTAGTGAAAATGGGAGCTTTGGAAGTTGAATCATTTACTCTTCATGCTTTGCTACACTTGAGTGTTATCAAGTTTATAGTTTATACAGCATGGGAAGCAAAGCAGTGTGTGGAAGGGCCCAGTGTGGGGCCTTTGCAATCAGCAAATCTGTCTCATTGTTTGCTTAAAACCTGAGAAGACATAGCGCACATCCAACCTGAGGTCGTCTTAGGTTCTGTGTAAATAGGGGGTCCTCAGCTCTAAATAGTTTCACGACTTGACAGCAGGTGAACTGTTTGATCTCCAGCTTCCTTCCTTAGGTTCAAACAAGAGGCTGGCCATCGACTGACTTAGTAATGAGCTGACGCTCACAGCCTGATTCTGTGTTTGCTCTGTATGTCTGAGCAATGAGTACCTGAGTGGCCACAGCCCAATATTTACTTAGTGAGCCAGTGGTACAAGTTCAATAGGCTTGTGGCCATTGAGTTCACTTGGGAGGTCCCTGCTCATTGTCTTGGTAGTAAGATTGGCTTGATTTATGCACTACTTTTTTTTTTAAGATTTATTTATTTATTTTTCACATTTTATTATTATTGCAATCATTTTATGATACAGTTCAATATTCCCTTATCCCCTCCCCAATTCCCTCCCCACCTCCCCCAGTTCCTCCATATCATCACTAACACATAGCTCTTCATACTCAGTCATATGTTCATCATTGCGGGCATGGACAATGGCAGAGAGTTCAGAATCCTATTGTCAAAATATAATATAAACAGTTTCACTGTAAGTCCATCTTTGTCTGGAAACAGAAATGCATACCACACTGCATCCTCACATCTGGTTATTAGTCTCCATTACATAACTACTGTACATTCCCTTAAATGAGAAGTCATGATACAAAATCAACAATAGAAAGAAAAAAAGAAATTCACAATGCCATGAAGTTAAATGACATGTTTCTAGATATGACAATTTCCATTACACAACTACTTTACCTTTCCTTAAATGAAGAGCCACAAAACAAAAACATCCGAGAGAAAAAAGAAATTAACAACACCAAGAAGTTGCTATTAAATGCCCAACGTGTAGCTGAAGAAATGAAAATCAAGAACCTTCTTGAAGAAAATGATGCCACTGTATGATCTACGAGTCATTAAATGATCCACTCAGAAGAAAGTGTCCCAAAGAGATGAAACCAACAGAAAACAACAAAACCCATGTGATAGAGTCTCCGCTGATCTTTGTTGGAGTATGTCTCCTCCAGACAATAAACAGATGGGTTTTGTTTCTTAGTCCAGTCTACTAATCTATGATGTTTGGTTGAGCTTAAGCAATTTACATTCAGAGTGAAATGTACATATACATTTGGTCCTGTCATTTTAGCAATGGGTTGTTCATTGGTTTAGTCTTCTGTTGTCATTTTACTGGGATGTTCTTCCCATTTGCCTTTGGTTTTGGTAGGTGCTATTCCTCTTCTCTGTCAAGAGAACATCTTGAAGTATCATTTGTAGGGCAGGTTTGGAAGAGGCAAATTCTTTTAGCTTTTCTTTACTCTGGAAGAATTTTATTTCATTTTCAAAGATGAAAGAAAGCTTTGCTGGGTATGTTATCCTAGGCTGACAATTTTTTTCTTTTAGAATCTGGAATATGTCACTCCATTCTCTTCTTGTCTGTAGAGTTTCCTGTGAGAGATCTCCTGTGAGCTTAATTGGCATTCCTTTATATGTCAATTGATGTTTTTCACGTGCACATTTAAGGATCTTTTCCTTATGTTCAATTGAAGAGAGTTTGATAATCATATGTCTTGGTGAAGATCGCTTTTGATCAAGCCTGTTAGGAGTTCTGTGTCCCTCCTGGATCTTGTTTCCCAATTCTTTCTCCAGATTAGGGAAATTTTCCTTGATTATTTCATTAAATACACTTGCAAACTCAGTTTCTCTTTCTGCACCTTCTGGGACTCCCATAACTCTTATATTTGGCCTCTTAATAGTGTCTTTCAATTCTTGAATACTTTTTTTGGCCTGATCCAGCTCTGCTTCCAGCTTTTTGTTTGCTTCCCCCTGGTGACAGGAGATATCTTCCAATTCTGAGATTTTTTCTTCTGCTTGCTGCATTCTATTTTGGAGACTCTCCACTGTACTTGTAATTTGCTCTACTGTGTTCTTAATCTCTGATATACCAGCCTTGATTTGCTTTACTGCTTCCTTAAATTCTTTGAACTCTTGCATTAACTTCTCATTTTTGACCAGAATCTTCAAAATGAGTCTTATGGATTCTGTGTCCCCCATTTTCTCAATGTCTTCCTCAGTTAACTCTGAGGTTGGCATAGGGTTTTGCTCCTTTGCAGGGGAGTGCTCAGTAATATTCATTGTGCCTTTGTCTCTTCTTTTGCTCTTGATCATTGTACTTCTGGTTAGCAGAGTCTTCTTCTTGGGGGGAGGTTTCTAAGTTGTGTCACCCACCGGTCTACAATGCGAATTTACTTATTGCAGTTGGCACACGACTCTTTTTGCTTGCAGCCACTTGTGCCACAACCTCCAACAAGTTCCATATCTGGGTTCCTATGTCAGATATCCACTGTGGTCTCCACAGCCCCAGCTCTTGGCTCACCACTCTCCACCTCCTGTGATACCGTGCTGAGGCTGCACCATTGTCTCTGTAACCTTTCTCCCACTTCCGTTTGGAGTGGGTTCCAGGATTAGAGAGACACCAAGTGTCCTATCTAGTTAGGTTGTTGGTGGCGCTGATCCTGTCGGAACCTGTTGGACGTCTGGGTGCCACACGGACCTATTTTGACCGGTACAATGTCACAGTCGGTATTATTTTCCTGTGAGACCTCAGCAAGTTCTCGCGAGCTCAGCACATGCACAGTTCTCTGTTGTCCCCTGCAGTCCCAAAGCTATTGCCACAGTGCAAAATGGCACCCGATGTGCTACCACAACAGTTCTTGATCTGCTGGCCGTCAGATCCGAGGGCTACCCAGACATGCCCCGGATGGAACCCATAGAATGCCACGTTGTTGCAGTTCGCCAAGTCAGAAATGAGCACACTCCCTTTCAGAGCATGCTCAGTCCTTTCCTTTGCCCTTTCCTCCTTAGGCAAAATGGCGCCCAATTCAGCTCTAGGGGGCTGACTGGGCTATGAAATCCTCGCTGTTTTCGCACTGCCCGCCTGGAACCTGCTGCTCTGTCTCTGCTCCTGGTCAAATCAAACGGACCAGCAGGACAGACAGTTCCCCGTCTGGGTTCACCTCCCAAGCTCCCAGTGAAAGTCCCTTCCCACCTGGTTGCTGGTGGAGTTCTGGCTGCTGGTGGAGTTCAGATCGCCATGCTGGAGTATCATTCACTGCAACACCACACTGCTGTGCCCGCTGCTTTCCTGTGTCTGTCAGTCTCCAGGTACCCCTCTGCTGTTGTTCTGTCCTTTCCTATTTCCTGAAATATGTCCTCTCTGCTTCATCCTGATTAAATGTTTCTCCTGATTTAACGTGTCCTTACCCTATTCCGCCATCTTGATTCTCCCTATGCACTACCTTTTTATCAGCTTGTTTTGTGAAATGGCATTGTTCGCAGAGCACATAAACCTGACCATATGTTGTTAATTTACCCTAGATGATCTATAATTTTAAATTATAAGAAAAAGACAATCCATACAATTCATAGGAGTAATCCAAATGCTGACCCCTGCATGATAAATTGGGTAGGGATCCTAAGTTGAATTATATATTATTTTGCATGTCAGTACCCCTTCTTCTCTGTCGAAGTATTTATGTAAAAATTTGTGTATAATAATGAGCTGCTTGGTTTAATAAGAAACGTAGAAGAGGGGCCAATATAACAACCTGAATGGATTTATATGTTAATTTTTTCAGTAGCTTTGTATGTGT